AAATACCCTCAGCATCTGATTTTGCCATACAGTATGTTTCCAGAGAGGACAAAGGAAGGAGGGTAGAATAAAGGCGAGGCTACAGCCAGAGGGTCAGAGTTCAAGACCAGCCTTGGCCACTTAGTGAGATCCTGTCTCTGATAAACAAATAAAAAGGACAGGGGTTGTGTCTCAGTGGTAGAGTACTTTCCCTAGCACACATGAGGCCTTACGTTCAATCTCCACTTCTGTTCTCCCTCAAAATTTGTATACCTAGCAGGGTGTGGTGGCACACGCCTGTAATCCCAGCACTCGGGAGGCTGAGGCAGGAGGATCATTGCAAGTTCGAGGCCAGCCTGGGCTACAAAGTGAGCTCAAGGCCAGCCTGAACTCCATAGCGAGACCCTGTCTCAAAAAAAGACAAAACAAAACAAAACAAAACAATTTGTATACCTGTAGTCCATATTCCTCTATAAAACGCAAGGAAAAGTATAGCTCTGCTATCAATTGTTTATACTGGCCTCAGTTTCCTCATCTCTGTTAATTAGGAAATCAGACTAGATGCTGTTTTTGTCCCTTTATGTTTTGACTGATTACGATCTGCTTTTAACATGCACTGTGGCCTTCATCTCTACTCCCCTACCTTCATCTATGCCTATCTTCATTTATCTCCAGATTTTAATCATGCAACCCCTGGATATACAAATTTTCATGTTAACATCTTCCACAATGGTGGCACATTTGTCAAAACTGAGACATTAATGCTTGTATATTATTAATAACTGAATCACAGCCTTTCTTTGGAGTTCACTGGTCTTTTCACTAATGTTCCAGGATCCAGTTCAGGAAATCACATTCAATTTTGTCTTCTTTCTCCTCAGTCTCTTCTACTCTCCATTTTTTTCCCCACTTTTTTTTTTTTTGACTTTTTGAGACAGGGTTTCATTATGCAGTTCAGACTGGCCTTGAGCTCACTTTGTAGCCCAGGCTGGTCTCAAACTTGCAACGATCTACCTGCCTCAGCCTCCTGAGTGCTAGGTGTGCACCACTATGCCCAGGTTTTCCCCATTTAAAAAAAAAATTATGAAGTTCAAGCATTTTCCACAAAGTTTCTATTATGAGATAAGCAAGGTTTGTTTGTTTGTTCTGAGATCTCCCTATGTAGTCCAGGTTGGCCTCAAACTTGCCGCAATCCTCCTGCTTCAGCCTCCCAAGTGCTGAGATTACAGGCATGTGCCACCACATCTGGCAGTCCTTTTTTTTTTTTTAAGTGGCACTGAGGATCAAACCCAGAGCCTCACATAGATGGGTGTTTTTGATCAGTTAATACCCTTCCTCCCCTTACCCCATCCTTGCTATGTATTTACCTTACTTTTTGGTATAATCCGTCCTCCTTGTTTCTGTTACTGTTAGGAAACTATTGTTACCTAGTGTATCACAATTATATTTCCTCGCACGGGGGATGTGGCTCTGTGGTAGAGCTCTTGCCCAGCATGAAGGAGGCCCCAGGCTTAATTCCAATAACTGGGAAGAAAATTTTTAAAAATTAATCATTACACTTTCTCTCATACATAAGTTTTGTTTGTCCTGCAGTTGATAGTTGCTTCCCTTTTATTCTGTTTCATTTTTGTTTCCATTGACTCTCCTCACAGTCTCCCATAGTTCAGTAAAAGGCTATCAACTCCATTTTACACTTAGGCAATCATGTCAAACAACCTCTCAGCTCAGTGCTTTTCTTTAAAAATCCTCCTTTTCTGCACAGCCTCGCCAGGCTGGGTGGGAGCCCCGCAGCGCCGTCTTGGAGCTCCTCTTCGTCATCGCCTGGAGAGATCTTTCTCCCTTCGTCCTTGTACTCCCTTTTCTGTAGTTCTACTGTTTCTGTTTCTCTGCTTATGGAGTTTTTAGGTGGCTTGCGTATTTGTTCCGTGGAGCTGGGGTGGAAACCAGGGCCTGAAGCATGCTTAACCCGTGCTCTACCACGGAGCTATACCCTTAGCTCACGGTTTGTATTCTTTTTTTTGGATCATGTTCAACAATAATTTATAGGAAGTAATTTTTTGAGACTTCATATGCCTGAAGTTGTCCATTTTCTACTCTCATATTTATCAGTGTAGATTTATAGGCAGTTTCCATAACTGCTGCTGAGCGCCGCCCCCCTTTAAGGAGGGGCCACAATTCATCTCCATTTGTCTCAGAGGCTCCTGGGTTTAGTTCTTGAAGTCCCAGGAACTTCTGCTCCCCCACCAGGCAAATTTAGACAGTTATCACCTTACATAGCAGTTATTTGATGACCAAAATTAAACCAATGAAACACCAAAGCAGGCTGCTCAGGATTTGGTGGCATGGTACTACAGAAAATATAAGGACACTGCAATTAAACTCTGAGTTCAAATTCAAACTATCGTACTTACTAATTGAGTCCTGGAAAATCACTTCATCTGTTTCTCACCATTAAAATAGGCATGAGAATACCTACTCTGAATAAATACCTTGAATAAATGGATTGGGCTGGGAGTGGTGGTGCATGCCTGTAATCCCAGCACTCAGAAGGCTGAGGCAGGAGGATCGTTGTGAGTTCGAGACCCAGCCTGGGCTACAAAGTGAGCTTAAGGCCAGCCTGAATTGCATGGCAAGACCATGTCTCAAACAAACAAAAAAATGGATTGGAGGAAATTTATGTAAAAACATAGTTCTCTCAAAAAATGTTGCATTGTAAACATTTTAAGTTACTTCGATGTCATGGTTTGTGTCTAGATGTCTCCCCAAAACCTCATGCAGTCAAGGGGGGTGGGTTTTTCAGAGGTGGCTGAATCTAGAGTGTGAAATGCTAGGACTAAGTGTGCTAGGATTAAGTCTGCTGGATCGGTCCACAGGCTGGATTAGCATCACCCTAATTCCAGGAGTCTGGATAAAAGAAGCTTGTCTGCTCCCCCACCGCCCACGCTTGTTGCTTCTGCCATCTTCCTCCACCAGGAACGGTTTCCCCGCTGCCATGTGCCACCCTGCCTTGGAGCCAGCCAGTGATGGACTGAAACCCCCTTAAACTGTGCGCTAAATAAACCTTTCCTCCTTTAACTTTGGGTGTCCGGTATTTTGTCTTAGCAATGAGAAAAGTAACTAAGACATCAAACAATTGTAACTTTTTTTTTCCAGCTAGGTCACATGGAGATTTATTTTCTGGTTTCTAGATCATAGCAAGATATGCAGATACTGTAGCTATGTGCCAGGTCTTGTGGAGGTCCTGTCTGATTTCCCCAAGGCAGGGGAGAAAATTAATGCTTAGGTTTCCATAGAGCCCTTGGGCATGTTTGATCATTTGGGTGAAAAACTAATCAAAACCATTTCTAAAACCAGTTTGTTTAAGTGTGACCACCCTCAACTGTCTTGGCATTTCTTCTTTTTCTTCTTCTTCTTCTTTTTTTTTTTTTTTTTTTTTTTTAGACAGGGTCTCGCTATGCAGTTCAGGCTGGCCTTGAGCTCATTTTGTAGCCAGGTTGGTCTCGAACTCTCAGCAATCCTCCTGCCTCAGCCTCCTGAGTGCTGGGATTACAGGTGTGCACCACACCCAGCTTTTGGCATTTCTTCTTTTAAAAATTCAGACTTTTTGGCAGGTGGAAAATAGGTGCTAAAGGTGACATGTGGATTTTGACCTGAGGAGCTGAGCACGGACAGGACTTTGGAGAGGTCATTGCTGGTTCTGAGATCACCGTGTGATTTCTAGCATTCAACCACCACTTTCAGTCACTGTATTATTTAGAACTCTTATAGTTGCAAATGACAGAGCCATAACCTAAATGGGTTTGGCAGATGGGAATTTATTGGCACAAGGAATGGTCAACAATCTGTGCAAAAAACCTGAAGTTACCCTGGCTCCTAGGTACCTTGCCTCTGTCCATAATCTAACTCTTTCTCATTGGCTTCTCATAGGCTAGTAACATGCCTGCCCAATCTCTTAACTTCAACATCCTCCTACCCTCCCAACCTGATGATGTCTAGCCACTCTGCCCAGAAGTTTAAAATCCTAGGAAGGGGCTCCCATTGGCCATCTGTGAACCAGTCATCAGCAATTAGTGGTATATACGGAAATTAGAAAATATGATGGCTCCCTGAGACCATCTGGCTCAGGCAAGGGGAGAGGCATTTCTCAGGAAAGCTGTTAGGCAAAGTTGTCATGACAGTTCTAAAATTAGAAACTACAAGGCCAGGAGCAATGTCACACACCTGTAATCCCAGCACTCGGGAGGCTGAGGCAGAAGGATCGCTGCTAAGTTTGAGGCCAGCCTGGGCTACAAAGTGAGTTCAAGGCCAGCCTGAACTGCATAGCAAGACCCTGTCTCAAAGACAAAAAAAGAAGAAGAAACTGCATAAGGATTTCACAGAGACCCTCATGTAAATCTCTGAGGACCACCTCTTTCAAAATCATTTCCAGAGCAGCACACTGGAGGTCAATTAGTTTGATTATTGGTAAACTATTCCCAATAAAGTGGTCATTGTAGGTTTCACCACATGTGAATTAATTAGCTATTTATGGCCTCTACAACCGTGAGGAGGCCCAGCACTTCCAGGCCTCCCTCTCAGATTGTGATGCAACTGCCTAGGATGGGTCCCCAAGTTTGAATGGTCTGTTTGTTTTCAATAGGGTCTTTCGGTATACCCCAGGCTGGCCTTGAACTTGTGACAATCCTCCGAGTGCTGAGATTACAGGCATGTACCACCACACCTGGCTTTGCACGGTTATAAGGCAGCCAGGTGACACAGATGAAGGCAGTCCATGGTCCACACTGAGAAAGCACATCCCAGGAATGCCAGTCCACAGGTCATAAAAATAAAGCACCTAGCATGTTGCCTAGCACATTGTTCCCAGGAAAGAGCACCAGAGAAGGCATGCAACTAGCTCCACAGCCCTAAGAGAACTCCGATGACCCTTGCTCAGTCCCTCGCAGACTTGGTGTGACATCCAGACCTCCCTTGCCCCTACCCCCAGCCTGCCCAGGAGAACAGAATAAATCACAGCAGCCACGTTTTCATTTTAGAAGCACTTGGTTTTATTGCACAGAAGCAATTGGAGGTGGACTCCAGTGGAAAGTGCGCCCTGGCGTGACCAAGTGGCCAGCGCCTAGCCCCACCTGCTTCAGCTCTTCCAGGACAGAGAGCGCTGGGTAAAGGCTCGGCCACTCCTTTGGAAAACAGAAGGCATTCGGGAATAGGTTAAGACATCTCAAGCATAATGTGTTTCTAACTGCTCATTCATTATTGCGGTCATCTGTCAGTTGTACATACGGGAAATAAATGCACTTATTTGGAAAGGAGGGGGGCAGTTTCTGTAGTCAAGTGTTTACGAGTGGCATTCGGCGTATGTCACATTTGGCTACATAAGCTATCATAACGTAATTGTCCTTCGCCTGGGAAGGGTTTGGGGCATGAGGTTCTGGGGGCCGGGAGTGCCCTCTCTTGCTAACATATTGCTAATAGAAATTCCTGTTTGGCGAAGGAGGGCCCAACATCAAAGCAGAGTTTCTTCTTATAGAAAGAAAAGGAAGAAAAATGACAATTTAATGCACTGACCCTTGAACTTCAGGACACTCCTGAGTTTCTTTGGCTGCTCTGGATGTTCCTTTCTCTTCTGCCTTACTTCTCGCCCTTGGTGGCCTTGTCCTCTGAGGATTTCTCTGACGGCTTGCTGTCTTTTTGGTCTGTGCTAGAGGATTTTTCGGCCTTCTCCGTCTTGGGCTTGCTGGGCTCCTTTGAGAGGCTCTTGTCATCTTCCTTGGCCTTAGGCTTCTCCTCAGGCTTCTTGGCCTCTGTAACTTTCTCCTCCTTGGTGTCTTTCTTTTCTGGTGCTGCTGGTGCCTCCTCCTTCTTTGGCTTTTCCGGCTCCTTTTCCGCCGGCTTGCTGGGTTCTTTGACCTTGGCGTCATCTGGTTCCTTCTTGGCCGCCTCAGTCTTCTCCTTGGGCTTAGCCTCTTCCTTTACCTCCACCTTGGCAGGAGTCTCCTTCTCCGGGGTCACTGCTTTTTTCTTGTCTTCAACCTGTTCCTTCTTGGCTTCAGGTTTGGATTCCTTGGGCTTTTCTACAGCAGCTTCCTTTTTCTCCTCAGCCTCAGGCTTCGGAGCCGCCTTTTTGGGCGCTTCATCTTTCTTGGTGTCCTTCTTCTCCTCAGTTTTTGGTGTGGCTGGGACCTTCTCTTCCTCCACCTTCTTTGGGGGCTCTTTGGTTTTCACTTCCTGGGGCTTCTCCTCCTTTGAGGGGGACTTCACCTCTTCCTTCTTTGGGACTTCCTTCTCAGGAGCCTTGGCATCCTCCTTTGCAGGAGATATGGCCTTCTCGGGGGACTTGACCTCCTTGACTGGGCTTTTGGCTTTTTCAGGGGATTTGGTGTCTGCAGGGGACTTTGCTTCCTCCTTCACTGGAGTTTTGGCTTCTGGAGACTTCACATCAAGAGTCTTGGCCTTCTCAGGGGACTTTGCTTCTTCCTTCACAGGGGACTTGGCCTTGTCTGGGGACTTGACCTCTGCAGGGGACTTGGCTTCCTCCTTCACTGGGCTCTTGGGTTTCTCAGGAGATTTCACCTCAGCTGGAGACTTGGCCTCTTCCTTTACTGGTGATTTGGCCTTCTCGGGGGACTTCACTTCCTCTTTCACTGGGGACTTGGCCTTCTCAGGAGACTTGGCCTCAGCTGGTGATTTTGCTTCGCCCTTCACTGGGGACTTTTCTTTGTCTGGGGACTTGGCCTCAGCTGGTGACTTTGCTTCCTCCTTCACTGGGGACTTGGCCTTCTCAGGAGACTTGACCTCAGTAGGTGATTTTGCTTCATCTTTCACAGGAGACTTAGTCTTCTCTGGAGACTTGACCTCAGCAGGTGACTTGGCCTCTTGCTTCACTGGGGACTTGGCTTCAGCTGGTGACTTGGCCTCTTCTTTCACAGGGGACTTGGGCTTCTCTGGAGACTTGACCTCAGCTGGTGACTTGGCCTCTTCTTTCTCTGGAGACTTGACCTCAGCTGGTGACTTGGCCTCTTCTTTCTCTGGAGACTTGGCCTCAGCTGGTGACTTGGCCTCTTCTTTCTCTGGAGACTTGACCTCAGCTGGTGACTTGGCCTCTTCTTTCTCTGGAGACTTGCTCTCAGCTGGGGACTTGGCTTCCTTTTCTGGAGATTCAGCCTCTTCCGCTGCGGGAGACTTCGGTGCTTCTACTTCTTCTTCCGCTGCTTCCTCTTCTCCCTCTTTGGCCTCTTTTTCCTCTTCCTCGGTGACTTCTTCAGTCAGCTGGGTCTCTTCTGTCTGTTCCTCCACAATCACAGTTTCCTTTTCTGACTTTTCTACTACCTTTATCTTCTCTTCACTCTTGACTTTTATGTGAGTGGATATAGAGGGAATCTTGGGGAGTCCCTCAGAGAGAGAGAAAGGAATTGGGCCAAAGCCAATCCGACACTCTTCACCTTCCAGGAGTTTTCTGTAGAATGGAGAATGGAGCACATTACTATTAACTTAGAGCAGATTTATTGATTTGGGGTTTTCCTAAATTATCCTGAAACTCCTTGGCATCCAATGCATAGGACTTTGGTAAAGGGAGGAATGTGAATGAATAGTAGGTATTTCTTTTTAGTTTATTTTTCTTCATTATTATTGGTAGACAGCTTGAATTTCTTTATTCATTTAGGTGCTGGGGATTTAACCCAGGGCTTCACACATGCTAAGCATGCATTTTACCACCCAGTAAGCTCCACCTCCTATGGCAGGCACTTGGAGAATAGAGAAAGGCACTCAGCAGATCATTCCAGTGACTACCCAGAAACCATACCCTAAAGGGGCTGTTCTTGTTTAAGGCAGCTAATGCTGCAGTTTATGAAATAAAACAACTTTTCCCCTACTGAAGAGTGGTCCTCAGGGCTGGGGATGTGGCTCAGTGGTAGAGCTCTTGGCTTGCATGCACAAGGCCCTGGGTTCAATCCCCAACACCACATACATAAAA